TACATAAGATATAATAAAAATCACATACAGTCGTCCCTCAGTATACTCAGAGGACTGGTTCTAGAACCTCGCCTATACTCAAATCCACTCCTATTCAAGTCCCCCAGTTGGCCCTTTAGGACCCGCATATGCGCAAAGTTGGCACCTCACCAGTACCAGATTTTCAATGCACATTTTGGTTGGACAAAAGCCCGCATATAAGTGGAACCTCGCGGTTCAAACCTGTGTTGTTCAAGGGTCAACTTACAACTCTTTTTTACTGAACATTTATTCATGACCTAGACATTCGCCAGATTATCAGTATATACCTCTGATTAGAGATTCTGGGTTTTAACACCAAAAAAAGAACATGGTTATAGGGTGTTAAATGACTCAAACTGCTAACCACCAGTTGTGTATTTCTTCTGTGAAAGGTCGCCATACCATCTGAAAACAAAGGTGGATACCAGCCAAGGATTCAAACCGATATGCTCAAATCCCAGGCTTAGACATTTCTATCTCACCTCAAAGCGCGTAATTGGTCCATAGCCTGGAGAACTATGCCTGACACTACAATATTTGAATTGAAAAATACTCTACATAAAAAAAAGGACCAAGACCATACAATGGAATATCATCCAACAAATGAAAGGTGCAAAATACTGATATATATGCTATTACGTGATGAGCCGCAAAAACATCAGGCTAAGTGAAAAAGCAAGACACAAAGACCATTTATATGAAATGTCCATAAAAGGCACATCTGCAGAGACAAAATAGATCAGTGGTTGCCTGGGGCTGGGAGTGGGAACAGATAATGACTGATCCGGCATGAGAGATCTGAGTGGGACGATGAAAATGTTTTAAAACTGGTTTGTAGAGATGGTTTGAACAACTCAGTTAATAAAAATCACTGACCTGTACACTTAAAATGAATGAACCTTATAGTATCTACATAAGTTTAAAAAAAAAAAAAAAACCCAAGAATGAAACTCAAACTACAATTCAACTGCCAGTTCTTAGTCTGGCTTTATCATAGTAAATTATATTAGACTGTGGTGAAAAAATAATAAGTGCTATACAGTCACAAAATGCTATGTGATTATTATAATTTGACAATTCCCTGATAATAACATTCACACCACCCAAGTATCAAGCAACCTGGCTTCCTAAAGTTGAAAATCACTGGCCTAAAGATTGCTGGTGATTATCTTCTAAATCACTGCTACCTTCTTTTAGATAATACTAATTTGAGACATAAACAGTGACATTACGTTTACATTTTCAGAGTCCATCTCTCTATACCTCCAACTGAGTTGCAGCATATGAAGAATTACAGCAAGAAAGAAACAGAAAATCTCATCTAAATCCCCTGGATTTACACATGTGAAAATTCAGGGCCATTAGTGAAGTGACCCACAGAGCCAGAATGGGAAAGACAGAAAAAGGCAGAAAAGATCAGAC